TTTAGCGAGTCACATTTTTTTTTTGTGCTCCCTAATTTACTTCAAAGCTCTGTATTGATTTTCTTTTTCCAGAAATTATACTGGCTATTATATTCAAAAAGTTGAAATCACAGCTTTTTATAACTGTCTATTCATTTTATATTGTTTAATCTGTGTGTGTCACTCCAAAATCACTACTGGGATTTAGGAAATTAAAAGCTTCTCTAACAAAATAATAACTACTTAATTTTGTATTGTTGTAGCAGGTGATTTAAGACATTACTCGACAGCACTAAGATTTCTTCTTTTTGGCTATAGTGAAAAGGAACCTTGTGATTTTTTTTGTCATTTGAAATATTATTGCATTAAGTTGTGATTTCCTGCCTCACTTTATATACATATAAAGTTTTAGAAGCATTGTTTTAGAAAGATAATGTACAGGAAGTCCTGCATTGTAGTATTTACTTGGTTCTTGAGACATACAGTGACATGTATGTGAAAGTAAATGCTTTTTGCAGCTATTTGGTATGACTCTGGATTAAGAGGCTTATATTCTCGTATTTTCAGTCACAGTGAGCAGCTGAATACAGCCATAGTATGGTTCCTATTCATTGCTAAAGACATATTCTGTAGCAGCAAATACAAGTGGAAAGATAGAAACAGAAACCAGAAAAAAATAAGTTTTTAGAAAGAAAGAAGAAAAATATTGGCGAAAAAAACAAGAAAATATTTCCCTATGATATCTTGGAACTGGTACATAAGATGACACAATGTTTTGTTTCTTGGTCGATGACATTTATATGTGCTTGTGTACAAATGTTTCAACACAGGTATGAGTGGACATTTTAGATTAGATGTGTCAGTGTGAGCATGTTTTAATTTACAGTTATATGCATGGATATTTTTCTTTTTCCTACACAAATACTGCGAGCAGGAAAGAGAAGTCAGATATAGAGAAAGTGAAAGAGAGAGAGAGAGGCTGTGTTTCGTGTGTGTCTGTGTTTGATAAGGTAGATGGAGGTCTGGCTGCAGCCTAGACTGCAGAGGCAGCTTGCCAAATTCATCTTCAGCATCATTTATAGCATCTTTAGACACATACACAGTACAAATGCTGCATCATCCACACACATAACTAAATTCACACCTACAACCAGTTATATGCTGTATATTTCCCACAGAGTGAATTAAAACAGAACCATTGACATGGCAGCTAATAGATTTCCTTTGGGTATGCAAAACACAGGCTCACAGTCTCAACCTGAGCTTTAGTTACATCAGTAATTCATTTTGGGTTGCAGCCATATCAATATCCATTTATCCAACAAGCGGCTTGATGGGGGACGAATGTGACCCCTGACTCTTTGTCATTTCTCAGCCTCAAAAGAATCAGGCTTTAGATTTTTAGGCCGTGAACTCTACAAATGCTGTAAATATCTGTTCAGTAGACATGAATGCGGAAGATGAGAAATGCAGCAAATGATTCTTAATGATGCTGCAGAAGTAGTATATGTTTCTGTCCCTCTTCACAGCGTATTTTCCACTTAGCTTTTCCCCCTTATGTACATTTAGGTTAATAAGTTGGTTTTAAATCAAACTGTATGTACGTGTAGTTAAAGTGCAGACTTTCAGCTTTACTTCAAGGGATTTAGCAAGAACCTATGGATATCACTAAACGCTGTGTTTCCTCCTTTGAGATGCTCTGCCACTGCCAAGCCTTTACTGCAGCTACCTTCAAATACTGCTTGTACAGATTCAGTGGGTTCAGTTCAGGCACTGATCATTGAAGGCTACTGCATGTCTTTGCCTTAAGAAACTCTTGTGTTGCTTTTGGAGCATCTTTTTGGCCATTATCTATTAGATGTTTTCTGGCATAGTTTAATGCATTTCTGTTACTGACTATAACGAGTTGTTATCTGTTAACATTCATAAAGGCATCTTTTGAGCCAACTTTAAAGACTTTGAGAGTCTTTGAAAACATCCTTGACTTGGTTAGAGGTTGTGAAGGATTTTTCTTAACCAAGGAAAGAATTCTGCAATCAACCACTGTATTTGCCATCTGTGGACTTCCAAGCCTGTTGATGTTGTTGAACTGGCTGGTGCATTCCTTTTGAAAATGGTTGCAGTTCCTATACAGTTAATCGAATACTTTTATTAAAACCGTTGAAGTAAAGCTGAAAGACGCTTTAATCACATTTTGATTTTCTAACCTAACTGTAAGTGTTGCAAAAGTACCAGCAACATACTTTAATTAAAAACATTTTACTCTATAATTCACTCTAATTTTTAAACAACCTAATTAATAACACATACATTGCTGCTGTGAGGAATAGTGTTTGCTCTGTTTTCTCTGTTAGCTACCTCATCATACAACAAAGCCTCCAGTATATTTGTTACAGTACATTTTCACAGCTGTGAATTTTTATGCTGATAACTCTATGAGAATTAGCTGTGTCCCTGCCTCAGAACAATATTAGGTAGCCATAGGTTAATGGTTTATTTGGCCCAGTTTAAAATTCTCAAGAGGGAAATGTTAGCCCTGGGCCAAAAACTCAATTAACCAAAGGTTGGAAGGCTCTAAATTGCAGTTAGCCCTAGGCTAAGTGTCAAGTGAAGACAACACAACCCCTTGTATGTGTGTGTATGCTTGCCTCTGTGTGTGAATACATAAACGGTTAAAAGGTGTGACACATCTCCTCTCTGTCTGCACACTCACATGCACCCTGTCTGGAGCTAGTGGTTAATGCTGAAGTTCCATATGTGGTTAGTCATAAACGCTTGTTAAGCTTCACGTGACACCGTCTCAGGTGCGTGGCACCCATGTATCCCACTGCCGGCTTTCATGCTGGCAGCATCTCTGATTCTCACAATCTCAGCTGTCACCACTGCTAACTGTTACCACGGCAAAACTGTCGCTATGGGTTACCAATAGCCGTGTCCACCGCAGAAGAGCGTGAGACAAAGACAAATCAATCAGCGCTTCTAATCTTCTTTACATGAGGAGCAGGCACAGAGGTATTGCCAAGCCTTGTATGTAGCTCAGAGGCAATACAAAGTGGAATAACAGATTAAGTGTGACATAAACACAAACAGGGAGAGGTGCACGAATTAGCATGGGGAAGGAAAAGGGGAACAGGAGGAGGGGAAGAAGAGCAGAGGTGGGGACTAGAGGGCGTAAGAGGGGCAGCAAATCAGGTTGAGGAAATTGTATGGCCAATCTAGCAAGGTTATTTTGCCATTCACTGCCTTCCTTAATCCATTTTAATTGAATAGATAAGCAAAGTCATTTTGCTCGATAAACTCCTGCTGTGTCATGAAACACCCACATCCTCTTTGCCCTCCATTTCTCATGCTTTCTCTTTCTTGTGTCACCCTCACTCTCGCTTTCTCTCTTCTTATGTGCATCTTTATTATCATTGGTTATTGCTTGCGCTTGTGTGCACACCTATTTTTGACTTAATCACGCTAAAAGTATGAGTGCGAGTGTGCGAGAGCCAAAAAATGAAACAAAAAAAAAGCCTTGGAAGTCCATTCATGTCTTATTGCTCGTCTGCGTAGTAAAATCCATCCATCTGGTGCTTCACATTGAAGCAGGCATTACTAATGAAGTATTTTCTATATTTAATGTCCCATGTTTAGAGGGGAACGTGCTGAAAAATATTAAAGGGTTTCAAAAAGTCTGAATATGCATCTAACTGTGAAAAACTGGAGTTATCTGGTTGAGTAAGTCTGTCAGTTGCAGTGCTCAAGAGATTAAATAAAAGTGGAGGCATGAGGGACACACTCTCTCTCTCTCTCTCTCTCTCTCTCTCGTTTTCTCTCTCTCTGTCTCACACACTAGTTGCTCCATCCTTGTTTCGACTAGTCTCCTGGAGATCTCAGCAGCCTGTTTCTAGTGATTAGCGCAACACCCCTGTCGACTGGACCAAACACAGGCTGATTTAAGCTCTTTGGCCCCCTAAGGCTGATGAAGATCCCTGCAGTGGAGAAGTGATGTGGGAGGTTTAAAAACCACCAGCATAGGGAGAGAGCAATATGTGTCGCGCCATGGGGGGAAGGCATTATGTGTAACGCCAGAGTGCCCTCATTGTGATCCCTACTGGGCTAACAGTCCTGACTGCCTCGCCCTCTCACAGAATCGAGATATAATCATAAATCTAAACTGATTGACTTTGTTTATTTCTCAAACTGTGGCTAAGCATGTTTCTCTTTATGTGTATTTACAAGGCAAAAATAGTAGCAGACACAAGGCAAGTAGTGTAGCTGGGTACAGATTTGCTGTGCAGTTAGGTGAGTCGTCATGTACAGTTTAAAGAAGTGTTCAATTAATTTAATTTTTCCCTGCTATGCCTGCCTTTTGGTGGCTGAAATACACATTTAAAATAAATCAAGGTAACAGATGCATGGTTTTGGAATGTGTGTGTTACACGCCTTCTTAAAAAGGATAAACAACCACTAGTCACTGAATCTGTGGAGGCTGCCATGATTGCCTTTCATCTTTTAGTCATTAAGATAAAAATTTAACGTTAGTTTTCCAATTCATAAGTGAACTGTTCATGCATATCAATTATCATATGCAAAAAAAAAATGTGATAAAAGGAAACAAAAACCTAAGAAGGGAGGACAACCACACAGAAAAAGTGCCGGGTAACGTGCAGATTCTATAACATACAGGCACACACAAGCAAGCTTATTCTTCCCTAATGAGTGTAATTAAGTGTCATTTTTTGTTAAAGCCCAGTCATTAGTATATTTAATTAGCCCACATTGTGCTGTTAATCTGATTGGCAGGACTGACAGACACTGGAGGCTGTATACACACATGCGCACACAAACACACATTATACACACTGTGTACGAAGTAGCTACTTGCATAGATAAATAACCAGCCATCAGGAGTACAAGATATTAAAATTTCAGCATTGAAAAAAATATTCTCTACAATACTTCTTGCTGCTGATTTTTATTAATATATATTATTCATTTACGACAGATTTGATTGATTCGATTTCTTTGATACTCAGATCCGTAGACAGGGAGGCATCCAGCTGCTCGTTGATCTACTGGACCACAGGATGAGTGAGGTCCATCGCAGCGCCTGCGGAGCCTTGAGAAACCTGGTGTATGGCAAGGCCAATGATGAGAACAAAGTAACCCTGAAGAACTGCGGGGGGATTCCTGCCTTGGTCCGCCTGCTGAGGAAGACCGGAGATGTGGAAATCAGAGAGCTAGTCACAGGTACGCTGTCTGTGACAATTTTTTACTTCAGCTCCTAGCATGTACAGTATATCAGTTATTTTCCAGCATGGCTCTGTTTATGGCCTCGGGAGAGATTTTAATGGAATATGTTTGTGTGTGTGTGTGTGCAATTCCCATGTTTATGTGAATGTGTGGATAGAATTTGATATGTGAGGATGCAAGGATCTTTCAAGCTGCTCTACATACCACACACCTACACTAAAGCTGCTTTAGGAAAGAATCTTTCAGCCAGCAAAAGGAAAAAAATTAAACTTTCTTTCTGTCTTTTCTTGGTATTGATATTGTATGTGTCTTTCATTCGTTCGTCTAATTGTGGTTTTACTTCTTATTTAGTGACTTAAGTGGTCTCGGTTGGCCATGACAGCGCCTGCAACCGTTTTGGCTTAGTGAATGTAGTTCTTCATACAGTCAAGTTTTAGTGAATTAGTGTTTGTCAGAAAACTTTACTATTCACCAAACCAAGGCTGTTCATCTTCTTTACTTGCACAACTATTTCACATTCCACTTGAATGATAACATTCAGTCACAGTTGTCCTCAGCAGCCATGACTTGTATGACTCTTGCAAAGAATGCCAACAATCTTTGTGAATGTTATTTATTCTTAGGAGTGTTTTGTCAAGTGTCCCTTTTGACATATTTTATTAAGACGTGTAAGATGTAATGCAGTGCATGTTTTTTGTTTGCATTAATTGTTATTGCATGTCTGCAATGATAAAAAGGTGAATAGGCCCACCTTGCATTCAAATTCTTGCTTAAAGTGGAATTTAAAGCCCCACACTTGTAGCAGGAATCAATCTTGTTTTAACCTTGAGGGAATGAACACTACAAACTAGCTGGTGTAGTTGAAACACACATTGCAGCAGTGCATACACCCACACGCACAAACTTAATAACGTGCACGCATACAAGCGTTCATGCAAATACACATTCAAATATGTTTAGGCAAAAAATGTATAGATTAAATTTAAACACCCACATAAGGTGTTAGATAATAACACAGATAATACACATTTGAGCTGATATCATCTTTTTTTCCAATATGCCTCCCACTGAGAATTTAATATTCTACTAGAGGAGTAGCAAATAGTAACACAACACTGCACCCCTCGCTGCTTAAAAGAAAAAGAAACACATAGATGTGTGCTTACACACAAGCAAACATCTAGGATATATGGAATTTCAGTGGTCAGCTAGTTATTTTCCAGTATGACATTGGCAATATTGATGAAACATAGTGTCTGTGAATTATGCTTATGCAGCTATGCCACACAGGGGGTTCTTACCCGTTAAAGGCTGATGGGGTATGTCATCCTGCCAGCATGGACACCCGAGTTTGTGAATGTGATAACTTGAGCATGAGACGACGTAGGATTTTTAAATCCATATCAATAAAACTGAACAGATATTCAAATCCATCTACTCAAGTCAAAATTAAAAAAAAAAATAATATCACAATGAACACATGCAGTATTTTTAATCCCTCATTCAAATTAAAACCTTTAACTAGGGACATTTTTTGATGCAGTCACATCAGCCACAGCACAATTTGATTGAGTTCTCCACTTTCAGAAATAAAATATGCTAATATATAATATGCAGAACTACTGAGATTTACCCGTGTGCTGTTTTTGTCTGCTGAACTCATGATTTCATGGACAGGCAGAGTTTAAGTGCACTATAGTAAGATTTATACATTATGTTAATACACTAGATTAGATCACTTCATGTGGCGACATATGTATTATAAATACTGTCCTGTAATGCATGATTATATAGGACCATGTCTATTTTTGAATTTTCTCATATTTTTGGTATCAGCTGCACAAAAGGTACATTACATTATCTTGCTGCTCAAACTGTGAATTGTCATAAGTGGGGATCTGAATGTTAGCAGCCTAAAAGATTTCCTATAAGCAGCTCTCACCAGCAACTTGTACATCGATTCCTGTGATAAAACATGAGAGAGCCAATACCTTTCTTTCATCTGTTGTCCTTCACTCGCATCTTTTGTTATCTCGTGTCTGCTCGCTTCGCACTTTTCTTTCCCTTTGTCGGTGTGTGCATTGGATTTTTATGTGATTCCACACTTGTTTCATGTTGAGCTGGACTGTGGGTATCTGCACTTGTCTCACCATTGTTTTTCTACATTTGGCCTCTTTGTTACACCTGGTTAGTCCTGAGATAGCAGAGACATGTGCAAGCTCATACAAGTAGATTTAACAGTTTCAGAGATAAAGCAGACCCATTCACTCAAACACAAAAATACACAAAACCTTGCAAAACCATAAAGCGCATTCACACAGAATACTAAACTAAAGTCAGTAGGGCCCCCTCATGCTCAATTTGACCTCTGTCTCCGTTGTTACTTAGCACAACAGAGCTCATCTTTAATCACACATTCAAAAATCCATCCCACTAGGTCACCTGCTCTATGAGGGGGAAGAGGCCCTGGTGGATCATAAGGCTGACAGCTAGCAAGCAAGTGCACAGTTTTTTTCTGTCCTTTTACAAACCCCTGAGATATCGATAACAGCTCGCTAGAGGAGGGTAGAGAAGGAGGAAGGAAGTCTGGAACCTTTTCACTGTTAATGATATCCTCATAACAGGTTGTGTGGCGGCAGGCAATCTCTGCTGCACTAAAAAACAAGGTTTGTTTATATTCAAGATAAAGAAGTAAGAATGTCATTACAAAAAGGCTTCTTTTTTTGATGATCCCAAGGTATACATGTCTGGGATGATAAACGTGCTGGAGAGACTAAGATACAGAAAACAGCTCGGGAAAGGAATGTCTGTGGTCTGTAAGCAGATTAACCAGTGAATAAAATTCACTGCGAGTCATACTGCATCATGTTTTGAGCTCCGACTTTTATAAATAGTCATCTCACACAGACAGACATGCACTGTGAAATTCTATCTCTGCTTCCCCCGTTTCCTGACTCTTCCTGTCTTTGCCCTTCCCTGTCTGTGATTCAGTGTCATGCATGAGTCTCCCCTGTTGTCTGTTTCCTCTGGTACTTGGCATTAAACTCCACATTTTAAATGCTTTCACGACAGTACAGCCATATTTTGAAGTCTGTCTTAATTTGCCTCGCGTAACACCCTGCTGTTGCTGTAATTCACGTCTAAGAAGTGTTGCATAATTATTCTGTAATTCAGTTAGGTTGATGTTGTTTGTCACAAATACAGAGAAGGACTACAGTTAGTTAATTATGTAAGTGGTGATTTATGCTGTCCTGGCCATTGACACAATCCTACCAGTTTAAGGCAGTTTTAATAAAAGCTGTGTTACAGAGCTTGTGTAGTTAAACGTTTTCAGCCTCAATTTTGTAAAATAAAAATGAAGTATGTCTGTAGCGCAAAGAACAAAAATGAAGGGCTAAAGGCAGGTGACCCTTTTTGAGAGAAAGTGTCAAAAAATGGTGAACTGGGAGGATTAATGCTGAGACTCTTGTAATATCTGGACCATATTCACTGACTTATAATCCAGGTGCTGTTGGACAGAACTAATGTTGTTGGACTGTATTTGGGTTGAGCGGCTATCAGATGAAATTGTGTGACTCTATAGCAACTCTTTCGGTAGATCAGTGCTGAAAAATTTGCAGTTAAAACATGTTACGGAAGAGCTAATGATGCTAATGCTCTGTAACTACATGTTAGTGTCTCTGCTCTCGGATGCTTTGCTGTGTCAAATTTTATTCTACTCAAAGTCTAACCTTTAATTCTACTTGACGGCCGAATAATTTGAAAGTAAACAATGACTGTCACTAGGAGAGATTGATCTAGGATTGTGTCACCCTATGCTACCCGTAGACTCAAAAAAATGCCAGTATTGTACCAATTCTGCTTTCTTATTACGTCTATGTTGATCCATCCCTCTAATTTGTAATTAAAGAATCTCTTCAGAATCAGGCATAAATTTTTGTTTTTTTGTTACTTTTGGTGATTGGAAAAACCTTCCCTTTAACTATTTACCCTATCTCTCTGTTGGTTCTGAAGTTTAAATTTAGACAAGCTTTATTGGCTTCCTAGGTCTGAGCGTGAGGTAGATAGGATGAAGTCAAGGCTTCTGGGCCTGTCAGTCAAAGTCTGGTCGATGCAGAGGCTTCGGATGTCAATAGGAGATGCTATCCTTACTCATGGGCTCACCTTGAATGCAGTGGACCATGACTACAGTTTCTGTTGCTGCCTCCTCTGAAATGGCTGAGGGGAGAAGCAACTGCTGAAGACAGCTGTATCCAAAAAGTTTCCATTTGGACAAATCTTCTCAGATTATTATAATTAGTACTTCTCAGTACTTCCATTAGTCACCATCTAATCCGCTTCCTCTCTATGAAAAACTGCACATGGTTGCTTCTCTCAGCTATGACGCATATCACAATGCATGTTTCTGTGAACTGCATTGAACATGAAAACAATATGCTAACATATATTCCGCTACATACGCAAGCGCTCATTTCCAGAAGTCAGTTTGGTAATGAGAATAAAAGCTATGAGAAATGCAGCAGAGAATAACTGCATGTGTACAGAAGTGACTGACTGACTTTTCCACTGTTGCAAGGTTATGTTAAAAACAGCCCAACAATGTTGAATTATACTGCTGTACTCACAAATACAGTTCATCATTTCCTGTTACTTGAAGGCATAAAATATTTTCTGTTGTCAACGTCTAAATCCCCAAGCTCCAAATGCTGCTGTTATTCAAGAAATTTCAATGCAGCCTTTTCACTGTGAAATTCTCTGGTGGTAATGAAATCTCCAGTATTGGCAGTGGCAGTTTACCCACAATACATGATTTTACCTTGTGCTGCCAAAGGTCTTCAGCAAACCTACCGCTGAAATGAAGGTTCGATGACTCGATGGTTAAGTCAGCAATTGCTAGCTTGCTGTCTGAAAACGTTACCCCAAAGCACTATTTTATTTTATGTTATTTTATTTATTTATTTACCGTTTTTCTCATTCACAGATTTTTATAGACACAACAGCCATGCAATTTGTCATCTCTGGCATTGCTCATCACCAGGTTGTGACCCAGCAGCTAACTAATTCGCAGTGAGCTGCACAAATGAAGGCTGTTTAATAAAACATCACCACTTGAGGCCTAACAGGTCTCATTCTTCCCTTACAAGTCACATTCTCATTTATTCATGAATTCATGCAATCATCTCCTCTCTCCCCCAAACCACCAGGCTCCTAGGAAACTGTCTGTCAAATGTCTAAAGGGAACTAGTCAGAGAGGGATGGGGTATAAGGACAAGGAAAGAGAAAAGAAAAAAAGCGCAGACACATGCACTCACAGGCACACAAGCTTGAAGTATGATGTCACTGTCTGTTGGTCACTTGATGTTATACCCATAAGGACATTGAGTTTAGTGAAGCATTACATATCTATGTTTCTAGAGCAGACAAGTCTGTGTAAGTGTGGTTGCTGGTGTGTCGATGTGTGTGTGTCAGCCTTAAATTTGCAGAATATTGGACAGTGGCCGGTACAATGTCCTTGCCCCAGAAAAAAACTGATCAGTGCATCCTTTTACGTGTCTCCTTTTAATCAGTGTTTTTGTCCATTCGCGCCTGCACAAAAATCAACGTGTCGCTTCCTGAGCATGTATTGTGTCTCAATGTGTGTTTGTTTAGATGTATTGGCCCGAGCAGATAAAGAAAGGCTTGCTGAGTGCTGCTTCTTGTCAGCTCATAAAAGACAACGCTGTTTTAACCTGATTGCAATCATACACTGAAAACACTTACCACATGAGAAACAGACCGACGCGGGAAAAAGAAGCAGAGAGAAATACAGAAGATGTTTGACAGCATTCAGCTTTATAAGTCAAGTGTTTTGCTGAATGTGTGTCTTCACTCTGAGGTGGCAACAGAGTGTGTGCATGCTTGCATATGTTTGAGCTTATTGCCTTATTTTATTTTTTTTACTTTGATTTGAGAAGAGCCTGTGTGAATAGCAGGATTAAGTGGAAAGACAGAAAGTTGAGATGTGAAACAAGAGGCTGATTAGTGAAAGTGAAGGCAAATGTTACCACACTCACACTCACATGCCTTAGTACAAGCTCTTGATTGCTGCCAAGCAGCATACAAGGTCATTGTGTTATTATCACCCTCCTTCTCTTGTCCTCTCAAGCTTGCTTCCTCTCATTCTCTCTTGCCCTCTCTCACACACACAAACTCTTCTCTGAAATTCCCAATTACATCTCCCCGTCTCTACTTTTAGCTTTCTTCTTGTATAAACTTATATATAGTCTTATGCATATTCCATCTAATCATTTGCTTTCTGCAGTGGTCTATTAAGTCTAAATTATTAAATATTAATTATTTGGGTTTAACAGCTATGCATTTGTAATTAAGAATTAACCCACTGGCTAAGTAACACTGGCATTTGCTTTCTCACTGCCCTTCCTTGTCTATTCACTGGCCTCATTTTCTTCCAATCCCTTTCCCTGAGATTGACATTATGACCGTATGTAGTAGAGTATAGTGTAAGGCTTCAAGACTGGCATTGCTTTGGGGAATGCAAAGCTGGCTGCTACTTAACATCCATTGCCTCCACAAATGTTTCAGTCAAGTGAGGCTTTATTCATATTTGTCCGCAGATCACAGTTTATTTTTCTAGCCCTTTATTATCTTTATTTTCAGTACCTTTATATTTATTTTTTAGAGCAACTTCTTTCGTTTCAGTTCTCATGCTCGAAAGAAGTTGAACAAATTTTGTATACTTTGGGATTTTATTGTGTATATTTATTTTAAATATGCTTTATTAATTAATTGTTTGCTCCCCAACACATAATAAGTGAGGTCCAGGTTTAACTACAGAGATTTTCCACACTTGCTAGCATTTAAGAAAACAGATGCAGTCTTTATCTTTGGATTTTGCACTCAGAATTACTGAATGAACAGGACACCTTTAAGCTCACTGACAGTTTCTATGAACTGTGGGGCGCAGCATATTGTGAGTTGTGCCCATATTTTAATTGTTTGCTAACTGTGCAAATGAACGACATCTGTCATTGGGACATGCAACATCTGGAGTCTGACACGAAATACACGAGAGATGATGACCTATAGCACCACAGCTTTTTATAGTTTCTTGTAGCTTTAAAGGAGGTTGTCTCCTCTTGTTGCAATCTGTTCCAATTTCTCGGCAGTCTCTCAGCTCCTTAATCCACCAGTGCTACTGATATATCTATATTTTCTTATTTTATTTATGCCTGTCACTCTGGTTCCTATATTTTTACTTTATTGTTTTTTGCTATGTAAGAAAGTTCAATGAAAGCCACAGAAACTAACTAACATATCTAGAATGTGACAGTGCTAATGTAGCCTGTGTGTGTATGAGCACACGTGTGTGTTTGATAGGTATGAGTGTGTCACAGCTGACCAACAGGGCTACTGCTGTCACCGGTCTGTGAAAAGGCATCTGGTATCCCATCTGACAGGAAGCAAAAGAAAAAAAGTGTATTTGTGTGTATGTGTGTTTGTGTGTGTTGTATATCCATGTATCTTTGTAGGCGATTTAGTATATCATGGATACATAAAAACATAAAAACTTGTTTTTCAGCCAGGTTATTTATATGACCATGCAGCTGTGTTTGCTGGCTTTATGTTTATGCATTGCTGTAAAATTAATTTGGCAATAAGTTTGTGTGCGTTTTGTACGACACAGCATGTGATAAATAATGCCAGTTGGAGTCAGATTCAAAAATAAAAGTGTGGGTGGCTTACTCAAAACTGATAAATATAGGGAGGTGCTATTGTTAGCATTTCCAGTCCTGAAATATGTCCTCGCATGCTCTGAAAAGGTGTGTCTGAGATCAGTGTCATTCTGCTCAAGGTTAAAAAACAGTTTTAGGCTGTTTTTATTTCTTAAAGTAATTTGCTGCCCTGACTCCCAAAATGTAGCCAAATGTATTTCACATGTACATTTCAGAACAGTGAATGGAACCAAGCACATTTTTATTAGGTTTTGGAGAGAGTTGTAGCACAGCAGTTAATGAGGTATGTAAGATCAAATAATTGTTAATCGTTTTTGTTTTGTTTTTTTTATAGAAGAGCTTAAAACTTCATTTGATGAAAATGAAACGGTTGGATAAATATTTTTAGCTCTAAAGATGTATTTGATTTATGAAAGTATGAGGTTTTATTTACAAAGTTTGTAAATGTAATTTAGTCGATAAAACTTTGCAGAAAACTAAATCAACAATCAGCGTTCTTGGTGGTTTATATATTAGTGTCGTACTATTATCTAGTCAGTGTAAGTCTACATTGGCAATGACAGTTTCCACAATCCTTCATTATGATGGTGATGATGATGAAGATGATAAGCAAACAGCATCTTTGACAGTAGGCTGCTTAGATCATACCAATGTAAAAGATTATACAAAATAAATTTTGGTGCAATGTGTGTACCACACATGAAATATGGATAATGGTGGAAGATTTAGGTCAGGACATTATCCAAAGCTTGCAATCACATGTAGCACACAGCAGGAGGTAGTCTGCTTAAGATTCATTCTTGCTACAAGAAGGGTTCTGCTTGGTTTAGGCAACGGTGCTGCCTGTGTGGTGCATGCACTGCCGGCTGTGAATTCACTGAACTATTACCAACACTGTTTTAGTGGCAGATTGGCTCAATCAGACATCACACAGACATTGTACTGGGGAGTTTAGTAGTTTATGTCTGATTCATCTGCATTTAACATTTGTGTTTCTAACACGCACCTCTAATGTCTAAAGTTCAGAGAACAGTTCCTCTTTAACTGGACTAAAACCTAAGACTTAAGGAGACTCGCGGTAGGCACCCTCATGCCTCAGCCAATTAGAATGAGAGGAAAATGGAGAATGAAAAGAGAAGCACTGAGAAAGAACAAATGTAAATGCTGAGAATATTGGTGAGCCAGTAACTGACCCGATCAGTTACATACAGAAACGTGCAGACAGAAACTAAGGATATAATAGTTATAGTAGCTACTTTGAAAAAGTTACTTACAGAACTGTCTAAACATAAATAGGATAATGTTTCTTATTTTCTGAACACATTCATATGCAGGTGTGCTTTGGAACCTGTCATCATGTGATGCACTGAAGATGCCAATCATCCAGGATGCCTTGGCCGTTCTGACCAATAGTGTCATCATACCCCACTCTAACTGGGACTCCTCCCCAAATCACCATGATGACCGCAAGCTCCACATCCATACATCCCAGGTGCTGCGCAATGCTACAGGCTGTCTCAGGTAAGCAACAGGCACTTAAAATCTTGTCTCAGGTGTTGTTTTCTTTTTCTTTTATATATCACATTATCATTTTATTCAGTTCTGTTCGGTTTTGTTTGTATTGCACCAGTTCACAACAGTCACCTCAAGGTGTGTGTGTGTGTGTGTTTATACATCTACTGACAAATGTCAAATAAATGGAAAATATTTTTGCAGAAAAATCAAAGTTTCTTAATCTTCACCACTGTGCGATTATAGGCACAACTTCAAACAGTATATGCATATTTTGTTCTTTTTTGTTGCTCCCTTTCACGTTCATTCACTGAAGCACATTTGCACCAATTTGTGTTGGTCACCATAGAAACAACTCCTCCACTTGCTGGGATCCTTTGTGTGTTGACTTTTGTTTTGGTGCATTGTGCCTCTAAATTGTTTCTTTGTACAGTTTGAAATCACGGAGGACAACTTACAGCTTTCATGTTTACTGTGTTTATGTGCATCTCAGTATGAGAAAACAGGTTTCTATTATATTTCAGTGTGTACTCGTTAACGCCCATCCTCGTGTTAGTAAAGCCTACACTTTATGCTCTACTTTGTGCTCTACTTGTGTCAGAGCAGTTACTGTAGTCTTAATTTAATATGGTGAGTTAAGCATTAAGTTAACTCGCATGAAATTTGCTCCTTGCTGATCTATTTGATCTAAACATCTGTTAAGAGCCTGGCATGCAGACATGATAGTGAATATTTTTTGATCACATAATTCTTTTCTTAGATCTGCTAATCTGGCATGAAAGAGTAAAAAGTCAGGCTGATGATGAAAAAGAGCTGCAGGTAATCGTAGTAAGTAGTACAGTAAAACACTGTAAAATGCTGTAGAAGATTTGTTATTTTGGACCACATATGTATTCATATTGAATACGTGTTAAAGAAAAAAGTCAATACTGGTCTGAGCTTTAAAATTAGTCATGAGACTGAAATTTTGATGTGTAACTATTTGATCACTTGCGTGCTGCTAGCACAGAAAGTTTGTCATTTGTTTCTGATCATATTTGTTGATCTGTGTACATACTCTCACACCAACCCCACAGAGGCCTGCGATGTTTGAAAAAAAAAGTCTCCACTTGGCCAGCTCTCTTTGAGCTATGTGGGCGATCGTGGCTCAAGAGTTGGGAGTTCGCCTTGTAATCGGAAGGTTGCCGGTTCGAGCCCCGGCTCGGACAGTCTCGGTCGTTGTGTCCTTGGGCAAGACACTTCACCTGGTGTTGTAGCTGCCTCCACCAGTGTATGAATGAGTGGGTGGATGACTGGGTGTGTAAAGCGCTTTGGGGTCCCTAGGGGGGGACTAGTAAAAGTGCTATACAAATACAGGCCATTTACCATTTATGTGCTCAATGAACCACCAGTGGATTAAACCCTCACCCCAACAGTTTTGAAGATTCTTGAGCTATTTCAAATGGTTATCTTCCACTATTGCAGCTATTGGATGTATTTAAAAATGCATTAGGTAACCAAGCTAGAAAAGATCCTCCAACCACCTCGTTGCCACAGCTTTACACACCAACCTCAATAAAGGAAGTGTGGAACCATTCACACTCAAGGTCCCCTCCTCCTTTGGAATGGACTGGAATGGCTTTTCTAGTCTCACTTAGCAGTTTAGACTCTCAACACTTCAAGCCACTTTTTTTTCCCGTTTGTACTGAGGTACAAATTGATGATCTCCCACAAGAAGTGGGGGCCAGACACTTCCAGTACAGCCTCACTAAATGTATAGGTATGCCAGGCCTGATCATTTATGGTCGTCATTTGATAACTCGGCTCGTGTCTATGACATATGTACATGATTGCAAAATGATGTAGGGTGGCCTAGCCAAGTGCACTTACAAACAACTTCATCTATATTCATGGTATTCCGTATGGACAAAGTGTGAATTGCACAAATGTCCAGTAACAGAAATCCTCAGTGTGTTCTGTTAACACACCCTCCAACTTTCTGTACCATTGCTCCATTTCCTCGCTGGGGACAGTGGAGCAACTCCAGACTGGAAAAGAGCCAGGCTGCTCTCCGGAATACAAATTATCCATTGAGTTGACCCCAGCTTTATCTAACCCGTATCTCTCAACCTCAAGCACTAGCTCGGCCCACTTTCACCACCAGAGAGGTGATGTTGCATGGCTAAATGTTATTAATATTAATGTTAACTAGTATGCATATCCACCTTTTTTATCCACCGATTAGGTTCTTACAGCTGCAGTACAAAAAACAAATATATAATATATTTAATAGGAAACCTAAATAATATGGGTGTGTATAGCTGTACTTGTATGGGTAAAGACTATATGATACCTAAGTGTGATCATGAAGTTATTCTTCTGTGTAATATTTGTCAATTTTGGTATCATTTGCAGTTATACAGTGCACCACAGACTAGTTTTATATCCTAAATGGGCTATGTATCCTGGGAGCAATACTTAAATTAGACGTATTAATTGACTTTTTTAAATGCTTCTTTTAAGGCCAAATGAGCTGAGGAGTTTTCATTTCATGCTAAGCACGCTATTCACCTACGGTTGACTATTTAGGAATGTTTGAGTAAAAACAGTGGTGAATCTAAAACATGAGCTCATCCAAAACACAGACAAACACATTTTCATCTTCAACATCTTTCTATGTTTGTTCCTATAGTTAATTGTAGGAACTTGGTTCTACAGAGAAATATGTTTGTGTGGGTTTTTGGATTTGTCCAACACAAGACTCAGATCCTTTCTGGTTCTTGGTTTGTTCTTTTAGCTGTTTGTTTGCCACAATAGAGATAGATTTCCTTAAAACTTTGATGACATGACGTAGATTTTCAGCAATTTTTCCTCACTAACTCACTAAACCATTTATAGAACTTGAGTGCATGTGTGTGTAGGTACCTAAAGATGCGGGGGAAGAAGACAAATGATGCTGTCACTGTGCTGTTCCACATTGTAAAGCTACAGATCAAATTGTAAAAGGTGCTAAAGGAGAGGGAGTACGAGAGGGCAGAAAAGGAAAAAGTTGGAAAAATTTGAACTGAGAGAATTTAGACATTGAGAACAATAAGAGAGAGACACTAACACATAGCAGTGAAGGTGTTTCTGCTTCTCTCCGGGGGCAGCTTTCTATCTCACCATCTTTTCAGAGGGTTAAAGTGACATAAGACCACAGTGTTCAGGTCCCAGTGTACCTGCAGCTCAATTTCAGACCTCTCACCCCTCTTATTATCTCCTTGATGTGTGTGTTTGTGTGGCTGTGTAGGCGCATGAGAGTCCATATTTCTATGTGTACTTATTGGTGTTGCATGTACAGTATATGCTCAAGTGTGTATGTGTATGTAAATGCTAATTTGTTTCCACTATAAAGAAAAAAAACACACACACAGCTGTATTTCTGGTGTGCATGAATGTGTGCATTTCTGCATATTTGTTTTTGGCTCCATGCATGACGCCGCGTGTGCAATCAGACTAGCTGAGAGGATTCTTGGTCGCCTACACCAGAATTTTGCACACTATTTTAAAGCTCTTTTTGCAATTATTACTTTTGGCAATCAGTGTGTGAAAAAGTATGCTTGTTGTAATCAATCAGACTGTCCACTTTGGCAAATCCTTCACAGCCCAGCACTGTTTTCCATCTTGTTACGGTGTTATCAAGCCAGACACAAGGTCTTGTCCTCCGTTCAGAGACTGTTTAACTCCCTTCAGGTTGCTGGTTTGTAGCCAAGCAAGAAAAGAAAACAACTACCTGGTGCCTTACACACACCCTTTGTATGCGTTTGCATGTTTTTGTTCTATTCGTGAATGCTTTCAGCTCGTTTCCATTCAGACACCCACAGATTTGCGTAGAGGAAAGGACTGATTTTTGGTTGATCGAGAATTAAATGCGTGGTCACGAAAGAGTTTGTTTCCATATTTATTTTATGGGTATTAATAGGTTTGTTTGCATGTGTTCCATCTGGTGATGAACCCTCTGCTGCCTGTGCCCTCAATGACACACATACACACATGGACAGACATTTATGCAGAGCCACCACACACCAGCTGTTTGAGACAAAGTCACTCAGTAGTCATTTGTTCCTTGAGCAACATTAGAAGACCATCTGTCTTCGGATTCACTCGTGTCCATGTAAATCCCATGAATGTTGCACCAATTTTATAACAACTAAAAAGAAAAGAAAAGGGATTCGTGTTACGATCAGTGACTATCAGATTGTTTGCCGAGGTACGCTGTTGCACCCTGTAGTAGAAAATCAATGTCAAATTAAAAATGTATAAGTGTCCTTGTGTTTTTAAAACAGTGCAATTGGTGGAAAACATGTCCAACTGGCAATATTTTAATAGTTGTCAAACCAGCGTCTGCAGACAGCAGGAAGCTTGTTAGTGAAATTTTTCTCACGTACACATGGATGCTACTTTTTCAGAAAATAATAATGAATTGTTTAGCGTTGTATATAAGCTAATCAACACTTTTAATGGTGGCTATATGCATACACTGACAAACTAGAGCAATATTATATTCAAATTCTGTATTTTAATTTTGTAGAAAATCGACTGCCTAGTGCTTTAAAGATAAAGCTGTGTGACAGGGTGTTAAAAAACTGCATGCCGACCAGTAAACAGTGTGCATAAGTTAACTTTAAGTTGTTTTACCCAGTTGGCTGTGGAAATATGTGTTGTATTTTTATGCCTTTATTAGACACCAACAGCAGAAACCAGGAACTTAACAGTTTATGAATTTCTTATATATTTCTTGTTGAGTTGTAATAGAAACATTTAATTATACTCGAGTCTTTTGCTCTAATACCCTAAATGTTTTTGTGAAGTTGGACCCTTTACACACGTACAAGACACGGGCGTGGTGACAGCATTTCTTTATTTTGACCTCTGGTTTTACTGTGGTTTTACAATGGGACACAGACACTCGTGCTCCGCTGTCACGGCCGCTCTCCTTCACTCCGACTGTCACTATGAACATATAAAGAGTCACAATCACATTCACACCC